TAATCGAAGTATTGTCAAGTCGAAACAGTATTTGTCGAAGTTAAGTAAACATATTAAGACACTCTTGCACCTGCTATGGACAGGCGCGTTGTGTACCACCAGGTGCACGACTTGTCCGTCCCGTAACTTTATATAATTATCTGAAGATGTATTGAAGTCTGTCAGTTCATGATCTGATGTTATAGTTACCTGATGCGCGTTGGCTGCAGCGAGGTTGAGGATGTAGTCGTTGCGGGCGCCGGCGGACTTTTCCTCGAGCTGATCCCTCCGGGAGGAAACCTTCGCGCTGTTTTTCTGCAGCGACGTGATGGACTGGAAAAACGAGCCCTTCTTCTTCTTCAATCTACAAAAAGAGTAATTTGTGTAAATATTAAGTTTATTGGTTGAATATCACGATATTCAATTATTTTTTGTGAAAATTACTCCACTGGTTTGTTATAATGATTATTACAAGTCCCTCTTGTCTCTTTTGATTGTAGAGTTCAACGTTCGTTACGTTAATTGTTCGGGTTGACAATGCACATGCACACATTACAGATTTGATGGTCACGCGGGTCCGAATCGCGGGTTCAAATCCTACTTACGCCTAATTTTTATTGAAGTTTTTTAATTCAACCGAACCTTACTTTAATACTATAGACGTAGAATTAAAAATAAACGTAATTAGTACACCGGAAGCGACCAAGAAGGCTAGCCAAAGTATAACTTTAGTAATCAAAAGAGAAAACGACGGCGTTTCTAGGGCATAAAATCACGGTCTTCGCTTAAACTTTCTTGCTTAACGTGATACTTTGCATAATATTTATTAACTTATTATATATTTTATTTAAATATCGTTACCCGTATATTAAAGAGTAATATTCACACGTAAATAAAGTTTATTATGTAGAAGTAAAAAGCATAGTATAATATACAAGTATATTGTCACGATGCACTTGCGTTGCATTGCGACATGATTGCAACTACCACTGGTCGTCCTAACGCGCCTTTCATTCTTACGCGAATGTGTGCGTAAGTGTTGTATACGGCGCGCGGCAGTCACTCACACATTCAAGCCGCTCTATTACTTTATACCGCGTTATCACACTTCTCTTATTTTACTTTGCCTTCCATTCCATATTACAGGAAATTCTGAAGTTTGAGACCAACTGTAACTGGTGTCGCTGACTAGCATCATTATTGTATTATCTTATATAAATGTAAATAATCAAAATGACGGGGAGACTAAGAAATTTTTGCAATGGCTACTTCGATTAGGTTAGACCATAGGTGTTGTATCTACTTACTTCTCTTCGATATCCTTGGCTTTATCACGCACGTCGTGTGCGGTGTGTTCCTCGTCAAAGTATAGCTTCTTCGTTTTGTCCACGTCCAGCACAGTCAGCTGCAGCTCCTTGTGCGCTTGCGCCAGGGAGTCTGTGCACTACACAACACACCATCTATTAACATTTCTTATTAAATATACGTACTTTGTTAATTTTGCGAGAAAATTAACAAAGGAATTTAAATGTTGTTGAGGCACAGGTTCGGCAATTTTGAGAAGCAACATATTGTACAATATAATAATAATATTAATAAGTATTTATTTCAGACATAACAAATCCACAGAATTACAATAACGTTGAATTAAAATTAAATATTAGATATAACTTCCTACTACAATATATAGGTATATTTAATTATTAATAATTGAACTCCAATGTCGCAGTATGGACAAGTCGCAACTACGAGCAGCAGCTATAGCAGCTATAATGTTATTAGTATCTAGCACTCTCTGTCTAAGAGAAGAAACCCTCTTTCTATGCACAGCCGCAAACCCGTCCGTACGTGCTAACAAAATTTCAGATAGTATCTTGACAATTCAAACATAGCTCAAAATACATCATTATATTGAACAATTTAATTTAAGAAGAAAATATTGAATATCTATTCCCTGATGAACATGCAGGCTTAAACTAGATTACTATACCATATCTAAACCAGTAGCAAAGTATATGGCGTAACCAGCACAATTGCTCTACCTTTTTGGCGACATTGAGTTTGTGCTGGCGCAGAACCTTGGCCTCATCAGCGATCTGCTGCTGGAAGACTTCGACGGCGGCCAGTCGTGCACGTGCAAGCTTCTCGTTCTCTTCCAGTACAGTGCGCCACACATTCCACATGTTCCTGCCGTGATACAACTCTATTTGTATAGGAATACACCGTTTTGACGATTTTGTTAAAATGTATTTCAAAATGTTTAACCGCGTTTGTAAGTCAAGCAAAGAAATTATAAATAATAGAAAACTGGCACGGATATGGGGATTAAAAGTCGTACAAAAATTTTATTATTATAATAATTTAATATAGTCCTAGTAATATTAATATAGTCTATTTGTTTCAGGGTACTTGAAAGATTTTAATTTCCTAAATTTAAATTTTAATTATTAATTCACATTTAAAGCTAGAGTAATCCGCAACGTACGCTTCGTCAGGTACACGTAAATAGGTATAAATCAGCAAGAAGTTTCCTTATATACAATACAATAATACAATTCGTCACAGGCTTTGTCATTTTTAAATAAACTAAAAGAGTTAAAAAGTACCGCTCTGGATTGGAGCCTGCATAATAACGCCGGCAGCATTATAATTGTATTATAATTTTAATCATAATGTAATTTTAATTATTATTAACTTTATTTTTATTATATGAATTGCGTAATGTAATGGGATTTATATGTACAAAATAATTCGATTATTATTATTAAAGAGATTCTGCCAAATCGGGTGGCAGAAGTAATGGCAGTGATCCTACATGGCTACGTCTACCCCTGATATTGAATAGGGGCTGCGTACATAACTAGTACACACAAACACAGACACACACACACACACACACACACACACACACACACACACACACACA